ATGAATTCTTTGCTCTCCTGACTAGCACTGACTCCATACTCTGCTTTCTATTCTAGCTTAATTAGTAGGCAGCGCTAGAATCAAATCTAAATTCAGAACAGTTTCCTCTTGACCGCCGACCAATCCCAAATTTATCTTCTTGGAATTATTGAACGATTTACCGGATTCTGTTTTTGGTTTAGCCTTGTTGGGGACTGAAACACCCAAATTCCCATCGACTGAGGGTGCCCTGTTTGCTCTGTCTACCTCAATCCGATACCAGAATCCTGCTCCATCTTCTTCCCTGTACAGGGTCACTACATCTCCGACATCCAACTGGTTCCGGCGAACAAAGGGTATCCAACCATTAGAAAAAACAGGTTTTTTGTACCCCTGTTTCCTAGGGGAGCATACCATTGACCACTTCCGACCCTCGAACCGAATTTTCAAATTTACGGTATGGCCTCCATTGAAATGGGGAAAGAATTCCAGACTCTTTGATCCGATTGCTAGCCTCTTGGTGATATCAGTGGGTTTCAGAGGTTTCTTGAAGAGCACGGTTGTCTGAGGCATGGTGCTAAGATTGGGGTAACAATAAAAATTCTCAGGAAAAGAAAATGTAAAACAGGGAGATTGAAGGTAATTTGGTAAATGGAATTATAGCAGGCTTACAGGCGAAGGTAGTTGGTAACAGCTATTTATACTACCGTCAACAAGAACAAAAATTCAAGATAAGGCCCCTCTATTGTTTTTTTGTTTTTTTTACTAACCTCCTAATATCCGATAGTAAAGTTGGATCCCAACTAATTCAGAATCGAGTCACGTTGGACTTCATTAAGATAGAACCTCTTCTAACGTCTATTTTTCTATTTACAAAACTCAAATTTAAGATCTTACTTAAGAAAAACCAAAATTTTTTTACTCGGATCAAGAGGTTGTTGGTAGGCTCCTTTATTGTTAAAATAAAAAAACCGAAGAAACCTAGTTGAACTAGGAAAGATCAAGCAATGCTACAGAGGTGATCGCGAGGGCACTCTGTTTTTGGCTTAAGTAGTGGATGAGATGCACTAAATTCGCAATTAAAGTCCTAACATTTTCTTGTGCTCAATTTAAAATCCTACTATTGTCATAATTCTCAAATAAGGTCTTATTAAGACCGTTAAGTTGTTAATCCAGTTAACTCTCAGTGGTAAAAATAACAAAAATGATCCTTAGACTTAAGACTTTTAAGTTTTAGTTATCAATATCCATAAAATTACGCTCCTATTCTTTTGTTTCATTGATGAGGAAATTTTGTAGGACTCACAAATAAAAATTATTGTGGCATCACTGGCATGCATTTGGCCCTCAACTTTTTTTTTTTTGCCATGAATGAATTTATTCTGCAAATACGTGTGACACACTAAAAAAAATTTTGTTACTGGTTAATTAATTTTAATAAAATCATTTAAAAGTTAATTTGTAAATTATTTTAGATAATTAAAATTAATTTTTAATTGTGGACCCACAAAATTTTCCTTACCAA